ACATTCTAAGCAGTTATTTGTTCATCTTATTATTTTGCATGAGTAGACTTGTGAAGAGTTATTTATTTCCCTGTGGTCATTTGGATATTCTATTTTCTTAGTATGGATGTAATTTTTTAATTAGTTCAATGGAAGGTAGGCATATCCACTTGTGATTCTTTCTTCATCCCTATTTTTCTTCCATAATTCCCGTCCTGCCGTCGACATTTTAGGCCCCATATTTTTTTTTGATTTCTTTCAGTATACGTTGTATAACAATATCCTATTTAATTTGTCAAATTTCTCATCCCAGAATTCCACATTCGTTGATCCTAGGCTTCTGGTGATAGTGCTTCTCATTATTCCTATCTTTGGTCTATAGTTGTGATGGGACTTGAAATTGAGTATTATTTGAAATGACTTATCGACAATCTCCTGAGCGTCCAATTCAGCGAATGACTTCATCGTGTTTTTGATTATCTCGTCAATAAACTTCAGGAAATCTTCCAGATTTTCTCCTCCATGTTACCAAAGTACCAAGTAGTTATCCATTTACCGCAGTTTGCAGTGGTGACTTCTTAAAATCCTTTTTTAAACTTGCTTTTCATTGAATATAGTTATGACTAACACTTAACACTACTCATAAGCGTTGTATAGACACATCATACATTCAATAAATTCCTATTTTATTCGTCAATAGTGTAAGATAACAAATACATGGGATTTATTTTCGATGTGAGTAGGTTTGAAGAGAGTATGAGGCTCTAAAATAATGACAACAGATACGAATAGAAGCTTGATTTCGAAGAATCCTTCAATAGATTGAGGCTGGTACACCTTTAATTTCGTTTGCAAGGGCGGACGGAAGGGATTTGTAGCTTTTGCCTCACCGGATGCTGAAGGAGAGTTGCCTTGGATTTGTTACTGCTAGATTGTGCGCAGAAGACAGCTCATCGTCCTGCAACCTTGACTAATCGTGCTGAGCTTTTGTCGGTTATGCAATTGGCATCGTCAGATGCCAAAACCATTATTTACAAAAAATCAACAAAAAACACCAAACAAAGGAAGGTAGTCGTCTGAAATTCTACTTATTATACCTCACTTTGCAATCCTAACGAAACACCACAATTTGACTGTACTTTATACTTGTCCTACATGCATGTTTACGAGCTAAGCTGATGAAGGAAGGGAAGCGGGTGCGGTTATTACGTTTCCTTATTTAAAACTAGCGTTTTATCATGCTAACCTGAGGCTTATTTTAGCTTCGCAGATGCCTATGCGTTTTGTGTATGCAATATTAACGAGTTATTCGGCTCCCAAACCAGACTTCAGTTTAATCAAGTCTTCTATTCCTGTTCCCTCTTTCTATCCTTTCTTTAATTCAATCCAGTAGCCAGAGATAGTTATTGCTTAGTTTCTACACTCGTTCTTCTTATTCAAGTTGTTCTTTATTCTGCCAATTTTGATCGACTCCCTGATATTCCGCTTAGCTGTGAAGTTTGAATTTAAACTACCCTATCTGGTATCCTGTAGTGACCAGATGTCCAGCCACCTACGATTTTTGTTTCCGTAAACCTTTGCAGGCAGTTTTGTGTTCTGATATCATCTTATGTATATGTCAATAAGTCTCTTCCACATTAGACACTACCATATGAGCACATAACCTTATAACGACTTGATCTGCAGATGGATTCCGAAGATTCTCTAATACAAGGAATGACCTAGGAAAACTTTAGTATTTCTCTGTGCATGCTCCTGATGTTCTATTTCCTCAGCATTTCTCCTATCTTCGAAAACATGCAGGTTTGTGGCATTTGAAACCGAACGATTAGTTGTCCTAAATAATGATTTTATCTTTTCTAATGTCTTAGTATTTCAAAATTGTTGACAATTATTCCCAGGGGATAATTGTTCTTAAGATTTTTCTTAGTCTTAGGTTTTTCTAAACATATCCCTACTCAGTTTGTTCTTTTCCTTACTAACTAAAATGAGTAGCTTACTGTCATTTTCTTTCTCCATAATTAATTCTGTCGTCCTATGTAATCTATTCATTAACTTAAGAAAGTCCTTTAGACTCTTTGTCATGTTGCTAGATGGCAAAATAATCATTCATATATATCGGTAATTGTTTCGAAGCTTTGTATGCTTCCTGAAAAAAACGGACCTATAAGCGAACAATGAAGTTAGGTAAATTGGGGACAAACACAAATCCGTAGATAAACCTCCGATTTACTCATAAGTTTTTATTAAAGATAAAAAGTAACAAGTTCGCAATTTTATGATTGACTTTTTGTTTTTCTTATTTGCTGATATAATCTCTGGGTGTTGATCTACGGTTAATCCTAACGCCTTTAAGGCCCAATTTCCGGTATATTCGTGATTATCGAAACTACATCAAATCTTTATGTTATATCATTTTCTTATTTAAAAACTTAATAAAGTCCTAAGAATTTCTCATTGAAAAGTTACAAAAACTAGATTTCTTTAATTGATCACAAACAAATAGAGATATTTTATGCATCACGCCACCCTTATCGTTCATAATAATAGTAAATGAGCCCCTTTTGAATTTTAGGCAGACCATATGCATTAGGAGGTCTAGCATTGCGTTGGATAAGTGGATTCACAGACCATGTATGTGATAGAACCTGTGGACTGGGAGCCAACTACCTCTGGTCTCCGCCGCATCTCTCGCACTTCTTTTTATATTTTTCTATGGCTCTTCTATGCCATAGTCTCTAGCGTTCCAACCCCCAAAACTTATAGTTAATTTGCCTGCTTTGAATAGGCTAAATACAGAGGTCTCCTCTTGGTTTCCGATTTTTTCTCTGCGACCTTAAGTTTTACTTGCCTCATAATATTTTTTGATATTTTTATCTGATATCCGAGTTTGTTTAAGCAATAGGCAAAATTGTCGTTAGTTCTGCCCTCACTCCTTTCTTCAGCAAATTTCTTTGAATCAGGATATCGATGACCTCATGAATCTTGCGTCTTTTTGCATTCCTACGATCTGCATTCAGCCCTTCCGTCAATTTCCGGTTGATTTCCTGTCCCGTCTATGCAATGTATTCCGCTATTTCAGATCTATCTGTATCCATCTTTCTGCAGAGTCTTTAATGTTCCTGATTTTTCTTCTCGTTTCATCAATATGCTTTCGCTCACATTTACCTTATTTCATGCGATAAACCCTCGAGCAATCAAGTCTGTCAAACTTATCGTGTTAAGTCGGCAGACTGGTGAAAAATTTTGTCTTTCTCTTTGTTATCACCTGGATATTCCATTTTCTTAGTGACGCTCGAAATTTTTAATTCAGTTCACAGGAGAGCAGACATGCACTTTGAGTCGTTATTACCCCTGATTTTTGTTTTATTTAATCTGATTTATATATGATTTCTCTTAGGTACTCGTTACTAAGGGAAATTCGGGTCATTTTATTCTGTTCCTTGTCTCTGAACACCATTTCCATTAGTCTTTAAGATTCTAGTGATAAACTTACCTATTATTATGATATCCGGTCTGAACGTGTGATACGATTGTAAGTTATGGATTATTTCCACACAGTATCCATGAGGACTATTAGTTGCAGCGGTGACTTTTCGAATTCTTCCGTGTATTCATTTGCCAAAGGAGGTGAGAGCGAAGATCTCACATGTATTTTCTCCTATGCATTTGTTTATGTGCACTCATGATTCTGTATTACTCAGTAGCTACTTTAGTAATAAATTTCTTAGTAATATTTAAACATTTAAGATGCCTTATCACAGTCATTCTGCTTGATCGTTTTGATTTTTCGTTTCTTAGGTTTCCAAAATTTGTCTTACTTTTGCCGATCAGCCATTTATTGTTGTACTATTAATTATTCATGGTTTGTTTGACCTTGTTTTCGCAACGTAGTCATATTGGTAGGAAGATTCAGAGCAACGCATCTAGTCCGGAGTCCATTGTCTGCATGATCATTTCCAAAGTTAAATCATGGATGTGGTACATTCCCAAACCTTTGACCGGCATCGTCAGTGAGTTTCGCCATTCCTAGCACCATACAACAACTCGTCAATGAGATAAGTGAAGCCGATCCTTTGACCAAACGTGTGCTAAAATATTGTGGCATCTCCCATTTGCGCTGGGTTATTCACGTCTCTGGTATCATCCTATCATGCCTTCACTATTACAGTTTTTACTGTGTTTATTTAAATATAGCGTAGTGTTCTCCTTTGAGCGACATGAAATCTTCACACTTCAGCTCTCGTTCTCACCCCCCTTCATCCTTTTGCAGGGAATGTTGATCAGAGTCTGCTTTATTATTATGCATTCCTCTTTCCTAGTCTTATCCCAGTCTCTCTCTTGCTCCGTAAAATCCGTCTGTTCTACTCCTTGTTCACCTATTTCATTCGACTGCTGCAACCACATCTGTCCTACTCGAGGCGTTATTCGCCCTCCCCTTCGTTTGGGTGATGATTTCGAGCCGCAAGGCTCTGAGTGTCTTGGTCACCCCTTTGCTACATGTACCACGTCTCTGGTACAACAGACCTACCGTCAGCCAACTAGCTTAGGTCCTCGCCGCCTCTATCCTCTTTCTATCCCTAATACCAAATCTGTGATTTTCTTGTGTGCTAACCCACAAATGTTGTGGTACAGTTTGCTTTGATTTAGTTCAATGTTTAACCGCAACATTTGTGAGTTTGCACACAAGAGACTAGAAAATAGGAAGTAATAGCCTTGGCATTGTAGATAATGCTCGTATATAATGCCGTTAAATGTGAAATATGTCGTCATAATTGTCAGGTTGATTAGTCGTGTTAACGACTCCTTTCGTATCAGTTCTGCCTCCATGATATCCTCTTCTGGCTCCACCCCTAAACTATATCTAAATAAATGCGGTAAAAATTGTAATAGTGAAGGCATGATAGGATGCTACCGGTAACGCAAATAACCCAGGGGAGATACCACAACTGTTTAGCACATGTTTGATCAAAGGATCGGCTTCACTTGTCTCTTTGACAAGTCTTTGTATGGTGCTAAGAATGGGAATACTTACTGACATTGCCGACTACGATGCCGAAGAAACGTTTGGGAATGTACTACGTTAATGGCTCACCTTTGGAAATGATCATGCAGACAATGGACTCCTGACTACGCGCGTTCCTCTAAGTCTTCCTACCAATATAACCAAGTTGCGAAAACAAGGTCAAACAATCTCTATACAACGAAAGGAGACTACGACCACTTAAAAGGCCACACCTTTGATTTAAATATTTATAATATATTTTTCTATTTTTTGAAGAATATTTTGAGCTTGATTGCACAATCATTTTGTAGTCATGCCACATAATTTTTGGATATTTAATTTAATTTTTTATTCAGATCAAGAATGGCGCAAACTACGGACCCTAAGACATTCGTCTAGCCACATTCTGCGCCCACTTGCTATCAATATGACTCTGAAAAGGTGTCTCCTTGGCTCAAATTTTAATCTTCCCAGGTTCGTTTCGTTTGGAAAATTTAATTTTTTGCATTACTTAGTCTTATTGATAACGTAAGTACCTTCTAATAGCTTGTAAGTATTTGTAATACTTCTAGCCCTAATATTGATAAGAGTTCAAATGTGACTTAGCTATTTTGCTGAGCTAATTAATTATATATTTTTATCCCCTAACTGCATCAATTTGTTTATTCTGGGCCCTTGATTTATCCTTTATCCTCCAGATTCTCTATTGACGGTTGTCTCCCCGAATTTTCACTTGATCTTGCTGATTCTGTTCTCATCTCATTGATCGAACTTATTGCACATGTGCCTTTTCCAGAACCAACTCCAAACCTTACCAGACCCGAGTCACCTGATGTAATTCTTAAGGTATGTAACAACATATTTTTTATTCCTATTTAATTTTTTTGCATTTCTTTTACATAGTTTTAGATAATTAAAACTGAATTTAATAAAGCTGTAGAAACCAAGATAGTGTGGCTTTTAGTATTTTCGCGGTCTCCTTTAGTTGTATAGAGGTTGTTTTACATTATACTCGCAACTTGGTCTTATTGTCAAGAAAACCTATTGGAACGCCCTTTGTCCGGAGTCGGTAGTTTGCATTATAATTTACAGAGTCGGATCATGGACTTCCTAGACGTTTCTTCGGCATTGTAGTCGGCAACCGTTTAGCAGAAATCTGGTCAAAGTATTAACTTCATTCCTCTACTTGACGAGTTGTATTGTGCTAAGAATAGCAAGGCTCACTGATGATTCCGGCTAAACGTCTGGGAATAAGCCAAGTTTTGACTAAAAATTATCACATATACTATGGACTTCGGACGAGGTCTTTTTGACAATACGACCGAGTTGCGAAATCAAGGTCAAACAATTTCTCTATATTATACGGATGTTTTTCGAGCCTATTTTAAGCTCATTTTATGGATCTTTATATTTATCATCATTGTCTTCATTTTAGTATATCTGGAGACTTGTTTTGCTGTATATGCGATCTTTTTTATACATGATGACTCAACTCCCCTAGTAGCTTGATATCGACGATTTTATGCAACCACTTTTCACAGTTTTCCGTTAATTACACATATTTTCTCTTTTTCTAATAATAAGCCTTTTTTATTATTATCGAATTGAGTGAGACAATACTTATTCATAAATTAATAAAATTTGAGATTTTACCAAGCAGGAGAGCCATAATTATTAAGGTGGTAGATGTGGAGCGTTTTTGCGTATTATTATAGTCTCGTTAACGAAAAGGCGTTAAATAGTTTATTAATTATTCATTTAATATTCATATCTATTTTTAATCCCTGAGATATGTTATACTTATTAGTTATTTCTTACGATCACTATCTTCGAACAAATATTCCTCAATTAAAAGAGTTATACCGACACAATTTTTCAAATGTAACTTGATTACTCTTTTACAAGTATCCAATTTTCTCACTTTTGGGAGAACTATCTATTGCAATAATGCAATTGAGACGAACTAATTAGAGGGCATCCAGATTAAAGTAACTAGCAGACGGAGAATTGCCTCATTTTGTATAGAAGCAATCCATATTCTTTGTGTACCCCGGATTTATTAGCTCCACATTTGTGATAAAATTCTGAGTTACTCACTTATTTCGTTGTAGTCATTTTTATTTATCGATTGAATTGTAATTTGCCAACACAAATAAATAAAGCTATTGCGTTACCACATAGAAGTAATTAGCTTTGTTTTATGAGGGCGAAAAGTGCATCTAGCTGTGGAGGGCTATTTGCCAATTCTCCCATAAATAATCCTATTCACTACCAAGATTCACTTTCTTTATTACGTTTGAGAAATCCAATGAAAGAAATCTTTGGGTGTTCATACATGTGTGTGGAAAATTGCGATATATTAAATAAAACTCAATGCAATTTAGCCTAGGTTCTCTTTTCACAACTTTTTAGACATTTGCCGAGTT